CGGCGCGCCCGCGCGCAGCCTGTCGGGAGAGCGGTAGGTGGATGCACTGCCACCTAGAGGTGTGGAGGAGGTACAGCTGGACTTGGCCCGCGCTGTGACCTGGCCTGATCTTAATGACTCTTAACCTGTTAAGGTTATTTCTTGAATTTTGCATTTACACTTTCTTTTTTTACATAAACTTGCACAACATCAGGGCTTTTTGTTCACTCCTGTACTCAGTCCCCCAGCTGGCTTCAACACTTGTTTAATAAACTGATGGAAATTTCTCTTCCTATACTGTGTGTACACAGACACACACACACACACACACACACACACACACACACACGCACGCACGCACGCACGCACGCACGCACGCATATATGTACATTTCTAACACCCTGAGGAACTGGCATGAGCAGGCAACATCTCTACCTCCCACACACTACTGCTTCCAGACTCTGCTGTTTGTAGACTCAGACTAATTACATTTTAGGCTGGGCCAGGCTTGAACTACTTTAGGTTAAGAAACACAGATAGGACAGTTACTGGGAGACAGACACCTCCATGCTTATACTTCCTATATTAGTTTTCTGACCTCATATCAGCAACTTCAAAAGGAGGTAGAGATGAGACATACATGGTCCAAGGCATTAAGAGGTTGTCCCAAGAGACTGAGAAAGGTGTTTTTCCACTTGAGAATTTCTGTAGAAACCTTCCCCACTCTATTGAATGCCTCAATTCAGCCCTTCCATTATGTCTCTGCCATCCCAGGGGCCACTCCTAAAGTTCAGGGGTCTAGGGATGTATTCTGTGATCATTTCAATCAGAAACTAGCTGGAACTGCAGCCTGTATTCTGCAGACATACAGGGAGTCAGGGTCCACCCCGGGGAGAAAAAGTAGAATGCATGCATCAAGTATTGCACATGGTCCTTTTTATTTTCTGCAGCAAAAAGGCTTCCTACCTGCAGATGACCTAGAAGCCTCAGGTCGGCAGAGTGGTCTTATCTAGACATGATCACGGTGATGTTCAACAGCATTCCTGGGGTAGTGATTCTAGACAGATGGTGCTGACAGTATGGCTCAGAGCAGTAACGGAAAGGGGCAATAAGTCACAGGACAGCTCCAGGTATGTTCCAGTTACTGCTGGATTAGGACGGATAGGGCGACTGAAAGGTCCCAAGACTCAAATGTCTTCATGGCAGGGGAGCTCCTGGGTGCACTCCTGCATTCTGACACATTTGTTTGATGGGGAAACGCTTCCCAGTGAGGGCTTCTCTCCTGTCAGTTCTTCACATCTCCCAGGCGGAGCTGGGCAAAGGAGGTAGCCAGCTGCAAGGCTTCCTGGAGGCAGCCCACGTTCTTGCCTGTGGCCTGGGCAGACACATCCTTGCCACCTCCTTTACCATCCATCAGGCCTGAAACCTGCTGCACCCATTCGCTGGCTTTTAGGCCTCGGTTGGCTGCATTCTAGAAGACAGGAAGGGGAAATGGTAGTTAGAATAGAACATGGGATTGAGATGGGGAACAGAGGGACACCACAAGGAGGGGAGCCACCAACACGACTCATATCCTGGGTGATGCTACCAGAGGCCAAGACTGACTCTACAGCTGTGACAGGGGAGCAGCTATGGCCACTGTCAAGGTGAGAACAAAAAGCAATGCCAGGCACCAGCCAGTAGTTAACACATCTACCAACAGGAAGGCCTTGGGACACATACACATACACAGTGTCTTGGCAAATACTACAAAGAACCCCTCTCTGAGAAGATACAGACAGTGCTTCCCATTGGCATAGGAGTTTGTAGGCTTTTTCCGCCCCTTATGTCCTGGAACTTGCTCTATAGACCAGGCTGGCCTCAAACTCAGAGATCTGCCTGCCTCTGCCTGAGTGCTGGGATTAAAGGTGTGCGTCACCATGGCTTAGCTGATCTAGAGTGAGGCCATAGGGAGTTCTGACCTGGGGAACCTGACACAAGCATGTGATCTTGCCAGCCTCGTTGTCCACTGTGAAGAGCATTGCAGACGTCTGAGGAGAATGAGTCTTGAACAGCTTCAAAGCTTCATTCAGGGCCTGTGGGATAACTTCATGTCAGGTCATAGCACCAGGACAGGGAGTCCAGCTTTCTACAAGGGGGTCTGGAACTCCGTCCTCAGAGCACCACCCCTTTTCCTTAGTAGATGCTGTCCCTGGGAGCCCATGCAAAGACGAAAGGCAGGGTCCTGCCCAAACTCTCTGCTAGGGAGCTCATCTTTCTCAGGCTACCAGGTCTCTCCATGGCTCAGCCTAATTTCAGTACTAAGCAGTGGGCCTCAGAGCCACCAGAGGTCTGACAAGGCTGGGAGGGAAAACACACACACAGCTGACAAGAAGGGCAGCCCTGGCCCTCACCCCTGCCTACCTTGGCCGAGGCGCCACTCTCCATCTCCAGGATGACCAGGGGCTGGTTGGGGTTGCTGTCAATCAGCTGCTTTGTCTTCTCTAACACCTACAAGAAGTCCAGGAGAGACATATAGGCCAAGTGCCCAGACTCTAAACCAAGTCTCTGTCCAGGAAAACCTTTGGGCTCTTTTCCAGCTGCCACCACTGCCAAGACTTACTCGCTTCTGAACATCGGCTTTGCTAGCACGGTCTAGGTCATCCATGACCTTCTTCAGGGATTTCAAAGTCTCTCGTTGTTCATCTTTCTGCCACTGTGGGATGACTGCGGTAGCCAGGGCCTGGAACCAAAACAGAAGTCTGTCCTGGTTTGGGCTACTAGGTGGCAGGATGAAATTCAAGCCTACTCTAACCCACCCTACTGTCTTTGAGCCTGTTTTCCATGGTCAGTGACTGAGAAAACAGAAAAACCACAACAATATCGGCTTTAAGACTAGTCACTCTAGCGGGGAGGGTAAAAGAGGAGAGGGGAGAAGGGAAGGCGACAAGGAGAATCCAAAAAATATAAATAAATAAAAATTTGGATTAATAAAAAAGGACTAGGCACTCATTGTAGCAGCCATCACAACAGGGCTGGAGAGTAAGTGTCATAAAGAGGGCTTAGCTCTCAACATAGCCTGCAGACTCGCTGGAAGCTTAGCTTACCGAGAAATAACCAGCCATTGTGCTACACACAGTTCAAGGGCAGCATGGGTTGCATAGTGATAGCCTTTCTCAAACAACAGCAGCAACAAAAACCCTACACCCCACCTTCCCCACCCAGCGTGTGGCTCATGTCTGTAGAGAGATGATAAGGCTAGAGCAAATTTGAGACCACCTGAGCTGTGGAGTGTTCTAGGCTAGTCTGGGCTACAGAGTAAGACTTTGTTTCAAAAAAGTACAACAAATAAAAGAAGAGAAGGTCCAAGCACGGGGATAGTCTTACTCCTTAGGATTGCTACGGAGCAAACCCACCCTGAAGCAGACAAAAGCCATCCTCACCTCACCAAGGTCGGCAATCTCCCGCTGCACATCCTTGTTGGGTGCAGTCTGGGCCTTCACTTTGGTCTCCATGACAGACAGAGATCTCTTCAAGCTCTCTGCCTTCCTGAGGGCCTAGGAGGAGAACAATTACAATTAGAGCTGTAAACACCAGGGGTTTCCTTCCTTCAGGAAGCAAGTGCTCCAGCCACACACACCTCACCAGCAAAGGCTGCACTGTGATTCAGGTCCAGGCTAACCAGGTCCTCATGAATGAGAAGCCCTTTCACCTGGTGAGAGGACCATTCCCCAGGGTCCAAAACAAGCTAGAGTTCTCACCACAGAGCAACGGTCCTTTGTGCCATGTAGCTCACATTAGGTGGGGCTTGTGGGCTAAGTGGAGAGGGAAGGGCGTATAAAGCAGGACAACTCTGACATAGATAATGCTGGGAGGGGTGTGTGTGTGTGGTGTGTGTATGTGTGCACGGAACACATGTGGAAGTCAGAGAACACTTTATGGAGCCAGTTCTCTTCCACACTTTATGTGGGTCACTGGCAACAAACTCAGGTTGTTAGTCTTTGTGGCAAGTGTCATTATGTACTGGGCCCAAGATGTGAAAGATTAAACAACAGCTAGAAATCTTGTACAGTGATAGCTTCCTCTGACAGGCAGGGCCCACACACCAGCCTGATCTCACCTTCTGGGCTTCAGCACCTGTGACAGCAACAATCCTCCGGATACCCTTGGCAATAGCTTCTTCAGTCACTATCACGAAAGCTCCTGCGTGACTGGAATTCCGTAGATGCCTGAAGGGCAGAGCATACAAGGCTATGAAGAAGAGGAAGAAGTCTGGGAGCCCTGGGTGAGATGCCTCCTCCCTATAAAGAATTCAATCCTTCACAGTAGGTAAGTCCTTTTTTTTTTTTTTTTTTTTTTTTGAGACAGGGTCTCTCTCTCTGTAACCCTGGCTGGCCAGGAATTCACTATGTAGACCAGGCTGGCCTCAAACTCAGACATCTGTCTGCCTCTGC